TTGTGTGGGTGGGGGGGGAAAGGCAGCATAAGATCATATGAGAAAAAGTCAAATTAAAATGGGATATTTCCTTGGTTTATAAATTTTATTGGCACACCTGTGTCAATCTATATACAGCATACCCAGAACACAGATAAAAAGAGCAATCTGTGAGATGAGCTATATCCTTTCCAGATGATCTTTACTAATTTAGAAATCTCTTTTGTCTCCATCCATTACTTTGGATTATCTGCATGAGAACAGCTGCTTGTTAAAGCAAAAATTACTATTTTTTTACAAGGGAAATGGCCTTTTCCACATGGGGATGTTTCTTAATGAAGTGAAAAGCAAACAAACCACTCGCTGTTGTTCAAAAAACTGTGTGTTCAACATCGGGATGTGAAGCTGAAGGTCAGCAGTTATGGCTGGCTGTATCATTATGTCTCAAACTGAACGTCACATAGTCACCAGTGCTCAGTGTCACACTGAGAAGTTTGGCAGGGAGGGGAGGTACTGTGAAGGTCTAAGAAAAACCAAAAGAGAGAAATTAATAAAGCTGATACCATCTGGAACCTCATATGTTTTGCACCATGCTCGAAGCTGCAGCCTGAAAGGGTCTGCCTTTTCAAGATGGGCTGAGTGAAGGAGGGACAGCAATGTCACCTAGGGAGGGTGTTGTTGGCAACAGTATTAGAAAGAAAGGAAAACACAGAACAAGGGAGAGAACAGAAATGTAAGCATTGAACCTCCCAGCATGACTGAGAAAATCTCCAAAGAAAACCAGGGAAAATCAGTAACAGCATGAGCAGTTTTGCCCTCAGTCACAGTAGATGCCTGCTAAGTTCTTATTTGAGGACAAGTGGACTAGCACTGGCTCTTCCACAGGAAGCAGAAAGCCTAGCTACTAGTCTCGTAGTCTTAATCCACAGCTCTCATATCCCATGAAAGCAGCCAATTTACCTGACTTGGGGGTAATATTGATTTGGCTCCCACTCTTTGGAAGCCAGTCGCTGTTCAGACAAAATTGCTAACTACTGAGAGCAGGTGAAGAGGGAGAATAAGTAGGCTAACAACCTCATGGTTAGAGACAAGCACCGCAATTTTCAAGCTGTTGTCTGGGCACCCAGCCAGTTCCACAGGCAGTGCTGCAGCCCTCTTACAGGCACTAAAACCCTGGAGGAAAGTTTCAGAGATGCTGTAAGATTGACAGCATCCTCGTGTGAGCACCCAGGTCTCCTCCACTCACAAGGGACTTATATCAGCACCACAAACATTTTCCAAGAGGCAAGAGCTGAAATCATAAGCATATGCTGTCATGTTCAGCACTTTATTGTTTTCCCCAGATCTGGCTATTATTGTACTATTAATTGTTGTATTAGACCACCACTAAAACCATATAGCCATTTCTCATACAAACAAAACCAGGTTTTGTTAAGTCAGTGAATCCATATGAATACAGGACTAAGTACTTCCTTTTTTCAGAACAAAGATATCTTAATAGAGATCTACCAATAACTAGTATTTGACAGCAACCTGTGGTATTTCTCAGGTTAGGATAAAAACACCAATTTATCAGTACTTTAAAGCATATTACTTTTTTTTTTTAATAAAGGAAGCAAAACTGAACATATTCATTGTGAAATTAACTTTTCCATCTATCAAAGTCAGTGCACTATTTGTTTATTTCGTTTTAATACATAGCTTTTATATAAAATATTTTTGCTTTTGTTATAACAATCGGATTTATTCACCTACTTATTATGCCTTCAGTACTTCAGTACCATAAGTAATTTATAAGGTATAAGTTGGTTGGTTTTCACAATTAGCTTCAAATGTTAGAAAGCTTCAGAATATGGCAATAACCCCAGGTTTGTATTTGCCTGAAAATACAAATTTCAGTGATTGCATCATTTCTTCATCAGCAAAAATATAGCCAGCAGAATCAGTGCCCAGCCCTGAAGAAAGGGAGGTACGAGCTGCTCCTGCCTTTGCAGAGAGGCACCGCTGAGGTGTCCTACACCAGAAGTTCTCTGGTTGCAACCCCAGGTTAGCTCTCCTCCTCTTTCAGCCCAGGAGAATGGCAGCACAGTCCCTTGGCATAATGAGGTTTTCAGCAAGTTAAAGCATGAAAATGTCACTATGAATTCACCTGTAGTCTCTGAAGTCAAATATTTACTATCAACCTCAAAAGTTCAGAGACAATTTGTAAATCATTGTTTTTATTCATTTTTTCTTATATTTTACAGAAACTACATTCTGTAGAAAACTATATAAAACTATAGAATGAGATACCTTCTGATGTTACCCATATGTGTTGCTGTAACCCACTAATACTACAAATAAAACTTTCTCTGTTTGAAATTCTGCAGAACTCTTGAGAAATGCCAGGATTGTCCTACAGCAAGTCAGAGCTATGGGGAGGACCAAAAATCTTTTAAAAAATCAGTTGTAAAAGGAAGAATAGAGGATTGTCATTGCTAAAGTGTCTCTCTAATGTGACTAGAGAGGCACAGAAGTAAGAGAAATTCAATTAGTAAGGTATTTTATTCACATCATGTCTGACAAGAGGACTACTGGTTTCATTTTACTACCCTCTAGATGGAAGGTTCCAAACATACTGGATAGGTTAATAATAAGCTCCTACAGGGACACCCAGATTATATATTGCAGTTAAGGTTTAATTCACAGTAGTGTACACAAACACAAATGCACAAGAAAAGGCTGACAGAACCATTTATCTGGGGTTTCTTTGAGATAATGTCCCATACAGGTCAGCAAAGTTCAAGATATGCTTTTGCAAAGTGATCACAGAATCATAGTAATTGGAAAATACCTTTAAGATCACCGAGTCCAATCATAAACCTAACACTACCAATTCCACCCCAAGCACCTCATCTACCTGTCTTTCAAATACCTCCAGGAAGGGTGACTCCACCACCTCCCTGGGCAGCATGTTCCAGGGATTCTATGGCTTTATGCACAGGTCTGTGGGCGAAGACAACACTTCTGCTGCCCCATGGGCTGCCTGTTAATGTCCCTCACATGTGGTAGAAGAGTTGTCCCCTCAAGCTGTGGAGGGACATGAAGATGGACCTGGGGGAGCTATGCACTGGGGAGTGACATGGAAACTCACTGGGGCTCCTCTGCAGTCTCCCTTGGAGAGGGAAGAGTGAACCTTGCCCAGTCCTTGCTGTCCTCATTTCATTGCTTTCCTCTTTAGAGAGGATTCAGGTCTGGACCCCAAATGGAGGAAATGCTTTCTAGCAGATCTGATTCAGATACCTGCTTGATAGGGGAGCACAGGATTTACACTTTCTTTTGTATAGTGTTTCCTACAGACATCATAAAAAGGTTTTCTCCTCAACACACAGGTTTTTAGATCAGCAAAAAAATGTCCCTTTGGAAAGCCCAGCTGCCCATCCTCAGTCTGGAGCCTTCCCTCCAGGAATCACCCAACTTTGCAAAAGAAGAAAAGATCTGGACAAAATAAGGATCTAAGATTATTCCATCATCTTTAAGGAAACTATCTGAGGCTACAAAATCCTTCAGAGTGAGAGTTACTCACCTGCTCAATATCTTGATCACTGATTTCTTCAAGGTACTTTTTAAAAGGATTGGGTTGATAAGGCTCCTCCTTTTGCTGCGCACTCTTTGCTTTCACCAGTACAGGACGAATGACACCAGGTTTTGTCTTGGCCAATAGCATACAGGAGAAAAGAGAAAAATAAAATAAAATACTTTACAACTTACAGAATATTTGTTAGACATGTCAATTCCAGTGGGCCTGTACTGAATGGATTTTTTAGAATTGTATTAATAACATATTTCACCATCAAAATTATTCAGGTGTCATACTGCCTGGCCTGTTTTTAAGATTGTGGACAGACATGGCAAGAGCTGTTTTTATGCACAGAACCTCATCACTGACATTTGCTTGTTACTAACACAAAAATAGATGCTGGGCTGTCAGACTGTGGTTCGTGTGTTTTACTGGCTGTATTTGCTAGATGTTCAGCTGCATCCTGATAAGTTCATCAAGTCACATTTCATGCACAGCCACACGTCTGCTTTCACAGTGCAAATTCCTTTCTGGGCTCCTCAAAACAGAAACAAGGAAGGGCAACATGTCATGCTGTTAACTTACACCCAGGCAGCAATATATTAGGGGAAAGCCTTTCTGGAGAATAATACAAGTGATTGTATGCTGGACTTTGACAGTATCTTAAGAGTTCACTTGGAAAAGTACAATTTTAGATAATTTAATCACCATGGATTGCAATACTCCTCATTTCAGACAAACTGGATTATTTAATCAAGAAAAAATTTATTGGTTAGCTACAAGCCAACAAAAAACCTGACTTTTAACTTGTTAATTTAGTACATCTGTGATTTTCAGAATTCTTACAGTAAAGTCTGACATGATGGATTGTGGCATAAACTCTAAACAGAGGCTAGGGAATAATTTTAAAACGGACAACTAGTTCAGTAAGCAAAGGAAGAAAAAAAGCATACATTCTCACTGGAATTTGGCAAGTACTGAAGTCCTGGAGGGGACTGTGGTTGAATTTAAACTTTTAAATGAGTCAATTACATTCTTTTCTGTTACAGCTAACCCATAGAAAAGACGGTCTTTGTCACAACTGATACAGATAACAACAGGACTGCTGCTGAGCTCCTTCTGTGGCTGCAGCCCAGAGGGACAGCATGCCCGGCTGAGGCTGAGAAATAGGTGCTGTCACAGCTCCCCATCCTTAGTACCCAGCAGAGTATAAAAATGCAGATAAGAAACTTGATTCACTATTAGATTTATTTATAAGATTTAGATAATGTACATTTAATAACACCTTGCTGCCTATTTACCAGAACAATACACTTAAGCAGTCCATCTGGAAAAAAAGAGAAGCTTACTATGAAAGTAAGCTGAAAATTATGCAGCTGAGCTTGATGAATGTATCATGTAAACTGAGTTAAGGAACACCTTAAAATAAGATCTGCAGGCATTCATCAAGGACAGGGCAAAAGGGGGATCCATCAGAGGGGAGGGTACAGAAGGCAGGAGATGTCCTCATGTCTTGTGCTTCTGCCTCTGCCCTGGGAAAAGACATAATAGTACCCAGGGGCTGAGGTGAAGGCAGAAGAGGCAAGGAGGAACAAAACAGGCCTGGGAAGAGCATGGCCCAGGCAGCAAAATACTTTCCCTTAGCTTTATGTTTTATCCCCTCCCTCCTTTCCACAGGTTGGGGCCCTTCCATTTGCTTCATCAAATAAGAAGACACTTATTCAAATGAATGCAAAAAATCAGCCACGAGGTGATATTATTCTTTAAAAAAAAAGAATAATAACTACCAAGTTGCATTCAAAATTTTTTCATTTAGGAGGTCAGCTTAGTGAAAGATGTGGTGCTCATTCAATGAATTTATGGTCCATAATCCATGACTGTTCCTTTGTAGGATTCACCATAAAATACTTATTTCCCTCTCTAAGACTTCTGAGAAGAGTTTGTAAAAGTGAAAGACTCCTGGCTTTCAACAAAAAGGTAAATACAAAATGAAAAGGAAAGCTACAGTTGCTATCAAGTCATCATTACACAGACAAAGGACTTGTGGCCTTCTAGCACTCCTCCACACCATGTAACCACGCAATTAAAAGCCCATTGAGGTACCTGAAATCATCACGGATAAGCTACTCTCCTTATGTAGGAAACCTCTTCCAAAAGCACGCTGTAGAAATGCTTTTAAGGAAGCATTTTCTAAACAACACAGTGCACTCAAGTGCTGACTGACTCATATGTTTATGTCTGACTCCTTTAACAGAGTGGCAGATATCAGCCAGCAATCAGAATTTGAAATATTTTATTAGTTCCCTGACAAGCTATACAAGACTTTTGATCAAAAACTAAAAACTAGAACTCTTTCTTTGATCGTGGGTGGCACAACTGACACTGTTGAGAAACAAGCTAAGACTTAGTTTTGCCAAGGAAAGTGTTGGTCTTCCTACAACAGCACTGAAAAATGGTAAAGTCTGTTAGAGTAGCAATGGGCTGCCGTCATATGGCTACAGCCCTATTAGCAAATTACACAGGGCCAAGACACAAACTCCAGAGCTGACCCATAATCAGTTGTACTGGTTTGGTGCCAGGTTACTCCCTAGCGTGGTTTTGACCCAGGTCAGCAAGCACAGAGTCAGAAATAGGAGGATAAGCTGATCCAGGATGCCTCTCAATAGGCAGTATGGACGTGGCCACCCTTCCTCAGGGACAGAAGATATTTTGGCTGTGTGAAAATGAGCCTTGCATGATATTTGCCTCAAAAGCCAGAAGACTGAACTTCTCATCAGTAGGTGTATGGGCATGTTCGCCTCTATTCTTTTCCTCTGTTATTTTGACACTGGTTGTCATAAGGTATTGCAGAAACTGAAGAGTAAGGTCCCACTTGCAACCCCATTCCCCTCAGTAGAGGCCTAAAATCCCCTGAGTCCCATATTTTTCCTATCCAAGTCACTGTCACTTCCCCTTATCCAGAATATTCAGAGATCCCCAAAGTATTTAGGGTCAGACTCTTTGATAGCTAGCAGTGACTGCAGTCACTCTTTGCAGTGCTCTGTGTCACTACATAGATGTTAAGTTGTTCTGGATACCTGAACAGCTTTCCTGTAAACAAGAAAGTTGCCTCTTAATATCTAATAAGGAATTGGCTTTTTAATGTGTTTTGATGCAGTGCTGTTTTGAAGCAGTTTGCCTCTGAGACCAGACAAATGATTATCAAAAATATGACATGATCAGATAAAAATACATAACAAGACAGGAGAGCTAGCCTTGGAATGAAAGAGTTAGGTACCCTCTTTCTATCCTTTCTACTCTGAGTCCATCAGACCTTGCTTGACAAACAGCAAGCAGAGTCTATCTGTTGCCTGCATAACCTTTGTATCCAACTTTTCTGTACAAATAGTCTTTTGCAGTCTTTGAAGCCTTTTGCTTCAAATGAGATAACCACAGAATTCCTTCATGGGGAGGAACCATTCCCAGTCCTTTCCAACAAACTCATTAGTTTTGGGGAAAGTGACCCTGAGGCAGATGGTACAAGTATGCAACACAGCACGTCCCTGTCCATGCGCTCATCTTCTGTCAGCACTGAGAAGCCAGAGTCACCTGAGAAGCATCTAAACTGTTGAGAGCACCTGCTTCCAGATGGGGAGGAACTGGCTGACATGTCATGAAGGAGCACTGCAGTTTCCACTGTCAGCAAAAAGATACAATACAAACATAGATGTTTTGTGTAGTTGAACTGTGAAACACCGTAAAGTACATCCATTCTATTTATTTTCTGACACAAATTAGTCTTCACAAGGGGAAATATATTATTGAACATATTAGTTTATTTTTATTTTCCCTTGTAGAGTTCTTACACTCGCAAAAATGCAATAAACATTCCAGACAGTGTACCAGTTCAAATATACCTTAGTATATTTGAAGGTGTGAAGGCATATAACCTGTGGTTAAAAGGATTTCCTCTTCCTCCAGCTAAACAGAAAATAACTCATATCACTGAAAAACCTAGGGAGGAAGGACAATTTTTTTTTCTCCACTTCCATACTGACGCAGCCAGAGCATAGAGAACAAGGACAGTCACCTGTTTGAAATTCAGGTTGTCTTTATTTTTGTTCATGCTGAAATATTTGCATTTCAAGAAACAGATGAATTTTCAACAAGATGTCTGATACTATACTGTATTTTGATTTCCACTGACTCTGTGCTAAACTAAGCCAAAATTAAAATCAACAGATTTAGTCCATTTCCGTTCTACTCACAGTACAGAGATGAGTCTTTTCCTCAACAGCTGGAGGAAAGGGACAGACCCACAGTAAGAGTGAAGGAGGCACTCACCTCTGCTGCTGTTCTGGTACCAGCAGAGGAACAAGTTTGCAAATATGTGACCCTAAAAGAGAGCAGGTTTGCTCAGGCACTGTTCACTGCCCAGGCTCGTGGCCAGGAGAGGGATAAGGACAAGCCCTTAGCAATGATGCTGCTTCCTGCTTCCTTCTCTGCTTCCTTCTGCTTCTTTAGGAAACTCTTACTACATTTAAGTTCTCTTCATTCACATTTTCCTTTGGTATATCATGAATCTCTTCAATTTCCTACTTTGTTGTGTGATGGCTCTGTATGGACCACTCCTGAATATAATTGACAGATTTCACTTCAGCAGTGCCTGCAATTTGGTTCCTGAGAAATTATGGATATAGACCCATGGCAAGGACTGCCTTCCAGAAGTCAGACGTCAGTGGTCAAAGGTCATGAAATAATTTTAGTTGGACAGATCACAGAATCATAGAATCACAGAATTGTTTTGGCTGGAAAAGACCTTTAATAGCATCAAGTCCAATCGTAAATCTAATACTGCCAACTCCACCACTAAACCATGTCCCTACTTGCCACATCTACCTGTCTTTTAAATACCTCCAGGGATGGTGACTTAGCCATTTCCTGAGCAGCCTGTTCCAATGCCTGACAACCATTTTAGTGAAGAATTTTTTCCTAATATCCAATCTAAACCTCCCCTGGCATGACTTAAGGCCATTTCCTCTTGTTCTTTCACTTGTTACTTAGGAGAAGAGACCAACACCCACCTCGCTACACCCTTCTTTCAGGTGGTTTAAGAGAGCAATATGGTCTCCCCTCAGCCTCCTCTTCTCCAGACTAAACAACTCCAGTTCCCTCAGCCGCTCCTCACAAGACTTGTTCTCCAGGCCCTTCACCAGCTTTGTTGCCCTTCTCTGGACATGCTGCAGCAACTCCATGTCCTTCTTGTACTGAGGGGCCCAAAACTAAACACAGTACTCGAGGTGCAGCCTCACCAGTGCCAAGTGCAGAGGGAGGATCCCTGCCCTAGTCCTGCTGGCCACACTATTCCTGATACAAGCTAGGATTCTATTGGTTTTCTTGGCCACCTGAGCACACTGCTGGCTCAATCCCAGAAGAGCAAGAGCCCGAGTGAAAGCCAGAGAGAGAAAAAGAGGAAGATATCCTCACTAATATACTGGATGTAACGTGATATAATATGGTATGGAGTATTCCATTAGCATATCCAAATGTCAGTTTAGCTTATTGAATTAAATATTCCTAGCCCCCTTAGATCTTTTGCTTGTAGACTAAGAAAACATGAAGTCCTTCACTTCTAGAGACAAAAACAAAAACACTGTGTCTCTCTCATAATAAAACCCAGGCTGAAAGCAAAATGCAGCACTATTCTAGCTACTAAAAAGAAACCCAGCTCTGTTCCAGCTAAAAACCAGGACAATAAATTTTGATAAATCCTAACATTGCACCTTCAAAAACTGTGAATGACTATTGCAGCATCAAAATGACTGAACCAAAAACCCTAGGAAAATGGTACCGATGTATGCTAGAATGGTCCCACCTGAATTTTGTCTTATTTGTTTAGTATATATGTATAAAAAAGTTAGAGTTAATGATAATAACAATATTGTGTGTAGTGTTGGTGTGCTGGGTATGGCTTTGCTATTTGTTATCATGAGTCTTTCATAGTCATCTTTTAAAAGAGTAGAAAATCTGTTTAATGAGAGTCACGGTGGCATGCCCAATGCTTCACCTGTCCATTGGATAAAAGTCACATAGTTGAGAGGTATACATAAAATATTTCTGTCGACCATAAATAATTGGTCCCTGGTATGGCTAGTCAGAGACTCCACAAGAGAAGCAATAATTAACTGAATTATAAATTCTGCAAAATTTCTAAGTCGGAATGTTACTAGTGAAGAATCATTCATGAAGAGAGATCACAATGTGTTCAGAGACAGCATTGCTGTCTGAACAGGAAACATGCACAAGAACTCTACTGTAGTGATAGCAATTTAAAACAAATTAAATGAAATACGTAGTTAAATAATTTAAATAGCTATTAAAAAAAAAATATATATATATAAAAGATCAAAGGAACTGACAAAAGGATGAAATGGTTATAAGTGACCAGAGTGCTGCTTAAGACAGTAATGTTTAGAGAATTTGTGCATCAACTTATAGGAAGACTTTAAGAGATCAATAAATACTGGGATATTCAAAGAACAGTGCAAATAAGTGAAAAAAGAAATAAGGAGAAATGGCTTTAAAGACAGAAAGTTGTACTCAAATACAGTCTAGAGAAGAGAGAGAGAGAGAGAGAGAGAAAGAAAGAAGGAAAGAAAGAAGGAAGACCATAATATAAAAATGTCATATATTAGGCCAAGAAAGACTTTGAGAAAAAAACTTACTAAATTTCCTTACAACTAACAGTCTATAGGACCAGTAGATATAATCAAGACATTAAAAATATGGATGAAGAAGAGGAGACCAAGGCTGAAAATTAATTCCTCACTTCAGCTTTCCTCACGGGAAGACTTAGTGAGGTTCTCACATCAGCAAAGAAACAATTTGGAGGAACTGTCTTGAGTACAGTGTCAATAAGACAGATTTGAGAACAAATCAATAAAATAAGTAGATAAAGTGCAAGGAATAAATAAAGTTGTAAAGCAATTCCAGTGTGAAATTGCCACACTACAAATTGTGGTATTTAACTTAATTCTTCAGACATAGTCAGCACCAGAAGAATGAGAAGGGGCAACTATGGGGAAGATTTTACTTCAGGATCCTGAAAGGGACCGGGAATCACAAATCAGTATGTGTGACATTTCAAACTGTGCAAAGTAGTAGGAACAAATTATTCTAAAGAACAGAATTAGTATACATATGGACAAATAACTTTGGGAATTACTTTTGAAAGGGCACTCATGCCTGATGAATCTTTTGGAGTTATTTTAAAGAGTCAGTGATACAAGAAAGCTGACTGATAAGGTAGGTGTAGGTCATGTTTAAACTAACAATATGAGAATCTTTTGGCAGTTAGGAACATACATTAGATGAAACCAAGTGGGAATCAACAGACCATCTGATGTCAGGCTCCATGTTTGCAGGTTTTTTCCCACTGGGTCCCTAAATGCGTGATCAGGGATAAAAAAATGAGGCTGTATCACAGATTATAAAGTTCAGTGGACATGTGGATTTCTAACAGCTTTGGTGAAGGTCTTTCAGCAGGGTCTACTAAAGAAAAGAAACTGCTATGGAGTAAAAGAGAATATTTCCTATGGACCAGCTAAAAGATATGAAGAAAAAGATTGGAATAAATTTTCAAATTTCACAGTGGAGGGAAGTCACAGATAAAGTTTCACAGAGACATGGTCTGGAATTTGGGCTTTGAATTATGAATGTACATTGGCTAGAAAAGAGTGGCGAGTAAGGTGAAAAAGTTTGCTGGTAATAGTGAATCATTCACAGGAGTAAAACCAAAATATCAATGCAAAGAGTTGCAGACAGATCTTATGATACAGAGTGAATGAATGATAAAAAGGCAGATGAAACTTAACTGAATTTAATATTGGTACATTTCACAGGGATAAACTCAACTACATCCTAAATCTTCACAGGCAGTGATGAACTAGTTGGTTCAGGAACTAGCTCTCCTTACTCGGGAAATAATTGAACTTATTGTGTACAGTTCTATGCAAAGATTGGTTTACTGCTCAATACAAGTAAGAACTAAATAAATTACTAGAAATTGTTAAGAAAGCAATAGAAATAACAATAAAGAATCATATCATCATGTAAATAGGAAGCACTGCATTCAGAGCTAGAAAGAGCAATTTATGGTTTTAATCTCCCAATCTCAAAAATAAAAACCTTAAAAAAATATAGAAAAAGGCAAAAAGGATCATCAAAGATATGGAACAGTATCCATAGATATTGCTTCTCAAAGACTGATTAAGCAATTTTGACTTTTCTTACAAAAAAGACGTGACTGATAGGGTATTATGGTTAATATCTAGAAAATCGTTAATATTATTTAGAAAGTGAAGAAAGAGCACTTCTCCTATCAGGACAGGCTGAGAGAGTTGGGGCTGTTCAGCCTGGAAAAGAGAAGGCTTCGAGGAGACCTTATATAGTAGCCTTCCAGTACCTGAAGGGGACCTACAAGAAAGCTGGGGAGGGACTTTTTACAAAGGTAGGTAATGACAGAACAAGGGGTAATGGCTTTAAACTGAAAGAGGGGAGGTTTAGATTAGATATTGGGAAGATGTTCTTCACTGTGAGGGTGGTCAGACACTGGAACAGGTTGCCCACGGAGGTTGTGGATGCCCTCTCCATGGAGGTCTTCAAGGCCAGGTTGGATGAGGCTTTGAGAAACCTGGTCTAGTGGAAGGTGTCCCTGCTTATGGCAGGGGGATTGGAACTAGATGATCATTAAGGTCCCTTCCAACCCAAACCATTCTATGATTCTATGAATTGCTGTCGTAGTAAAAGAACTGAGGTCATGAGTAGGTTTAAAACAAAGAAATAAAGTGCTATTTCACACAATACATAATTAAAAATTAAACCTTATTGCTGGAGAATATTGTAGTGACCAAAGTACAACAAGACTCAAAAAGTAACAGGAAAAAGTCCTGAAAGAAGAAGTGGTCAAATATTATTAAACAGAAGAAATTGATTCAGGAAGTCCCTGAAGTTCCATTAGCTGAAATACAATGGGAAAAAACTCTCATCCACATCTCATTTTTTCCCTAATCATTCATTAGTGGTCACTGTCACTTGGACAGGCTCCATGACCTCTCTTCTGACTCTTCTTCAGAAAGTTTGGCTCCAGCAGCACTAAATTATGATCAGAGCTAAAATGAACATCTGATCCATAATCTCCCTTTCTTTATCTGATTTTATGCTTGCTTTTTACTAGTTAAACCAGCTTTGATTTAATCTAAAGTGTAAGAAGAAAATAGATGCCAGAACTTTGCTGCATCTAAATAAAATTATAAAAGTGGAATATTAAAGAGTCCAGGAACCAGCAGTAGTCTCTATAGTTGTCATACACATCAAGATTCGGCAAGACCCTAGTTTGTCATTTGATCCATGGATTTACAATTAGTGTCAGGATTTATAGTTACTTTGAACAGGTGTATATTCAGCACAGAAGAAAGCAATGCAGCTCCGTAGAAGCAATGCAGCTTTGTAGGAGGATATTGACTGCAGCTTCTTTCAAAGTCTAAGAAAGTAAATAATAATTACTTCAGATTTTGTGCTTGTGCAAATTTTGAAAAACAGCACAGCTGTGCATTACATACCATCTGACTCTCAGTCATCATAGGTGCCGATTTGTAAAGGCTGGCCTGCAAAAAAGGCAAACATATACAGTATTACATACAATATCATGGTTATTATAGCAATGACACAAGAAAAATCCAAAAAGATAATCACTGATGATGGTTCACTATTTCACTGTTAATAGTTCCTGAATGAAAAAATAATGCATTCACATTTGTCATTTCACTTGTATTTTTCTGAGGTCTGTTTTAAGAGAAGGAAAAATACATGGACAGTGGCATCCTTAGGTGCAGAAGCTTTTACCTCTGATGCAGTGATGTGCAATTGGTAAGAGAAGTTAAAATATTGTCATTTCCATTTTATCTCTAGGTATAATCAAATATGAATACCTGTTGTTAAAATTTTAGGGATATTTTTTTCTGAGTGCAACAATATTTCACTTTTTCATATTGATCTAATCTTGAAAAGTAAATTCTGATGTTTCTGAACCTGCTTTTGTCTGTTAATTTGCAGTATCAATGTTATTAACACTATCAGTTGTATGGAGATAGCGGATCAACCAGTACAATTCTATTTGAGCACTATTTTTTTTTCTGAGTATGCCTTGAACAGCAGGAGCTCTGTTTTCAAGATAAAGGGTAAATGTGCTAAATGCAAAGCATTTGTGTTTGTACGTGAAATAGTCATGTGTCACGTGCTTATTTGCCTGGGCTGTGGCAAGATTCAGGATTTCTGCTGATCAGCTCCTTCAAACTTTGTAGGCGTTCCTCTGGATAACACAGTGTTTCTGTACAGATAACATGCCCTTCTTTGATGTAGGTGTGATTTGCTGGCCTTGAGACTCTAAAATGTGAATATTCTTCAGTATGGTCATAAAAAAAGTACTAGATACTATAGTTAGATGTTATAGCTGTAGTGTAAGACAAGCCAGTGCCGTTACAGTCTGCATTTTCTGCAGAAGGATCACTACAGTTGGATTTTTGTTGACTCAACTATATCTTGTCACAGTTTCAAGTGGAAAATCACAGCATTTTTGGAGAGGGAAGAACATGCTTTTCCTTTGTTCCCTCATGACAAAGATCTTGCAGAAATTTGGTCACAAAACTCCAGATGTGGTCTCCCAAGTGTTAAATAGAGATGTTTAATCACTCCCTGGACCTGCTGGCTTTACTCCTCCATCAGTGGTGAGAACAGCATCACTATGAGTCATGGTGGAGGACTGTCCTCCTCACTGAGAGCATTTACATCTCCAAACAGAGACTCTGGTGGGGGAAAGTTTCTCACCCAAACAGGGACAGCTGTAATTTAGCACTAAATCTACCAGAAGCACATCTTCTCTCCTTGACAGAGTAAAGTAGAGTTTTTACTAGGGGTTACTTACATACTAGGGAATGTCTTTCATGCTATTAACCAAATATGACAACCAATCTCATTGCAAACTTAAAGACATCAAAGCACTTCAGAGTGACCTACAGATACAAGCAGAAGGAATTAAATTCTCTCACTTCAGTGGTGCAAATTAAGAATAAATTTCATTTCAAAGAGGTTACCTGAAATGTATACAAGCACAGTAGACCACTGATGAAGAAAAATGCTACTTATTTCTGCATGTCTCCATGCATTTTTAGCTGCTTCATGTTCTCTCATTTTTTTAACTTCTCGGTTTCATGTCTATAACACTTAAAAAATATTTTTTGCAGAATAGAACTGCCAAGAAGAACAAAATTCTCAATCATATGCAAGGTAATTGTTCCAATTAATCACAACACATTATTTTTTAAATAGAATCATAGAATCAATTGAGTTGGAAGGGACCTTAAAGATCCCCTTGTTCCACCCCCGCTGCCATCAGCAGGGACCCCTTCCACTAGACCAGGTTACTCAAAGCCTCATCCAACCTGGCCTTGAACTTCCAGGGAAGGGGCATCCACAGTTTCTCTGGGCAACGTGTTCCAGTGTCTGACCACTCTTACAGTAAATAATTTCTTCCTAATATCTAATCTAAACCTACCGTTTTTCAGTTTAAAGCCGTTACACCTCGTACTATCACTACCTGCCCTTGTAAATAGTCCTTCCCCAGCTTTCTTGTAGGTCCCCTTCAGGTACTGGAAGGCCTCTATAAGGTTTCCCTGGGGTCTTCTCTTCTCCAGGCAGAACAGCCCCAACTCTCTCAGCCTGTCCTCATAGGAGAAGTGCTCCAGCCCTCGGATCATCCTCGTGGCCTCCTCTGGACTCGCTCCAGCAGGTTCATGTCCTTCTTATGCTGGGGGCCCCAGAGCTGGACACAGTACTCTAGGTGGGGTCTCATTAGAAGAGAATAGAGGGGCAGAATCAGCTCCCTCAACATGCTGGCCACACTTCTCTTGATGCAGCCCAGGGTACAATTTGCCTTCTGGGCTGCAAGGGCACATTGCTGGGTCCTGTTGAGCTTCTCATCAACCAACATTCCCAAGTCCTTCTCCTCAAGGTTTTTCTCAATCCATTCTCTGCTCAGCCTGTATTTGTGCTTTGGATTGCCCCAACCCAGGTGCAGGACCTTGCACTTGGCCTCATTGACTTCGTAAGGTTTGCACAGGCCCACTTCAAGCCTGTCAAGATCCCTCTGGATGGCTTCCTTTCCCTCCAGTGTGTTGACCACACCACACAGCTTGATGTTGTTGTCAAATTTGCTGAGAGTGCACTCAAGCCCACTGTCCATGTTGCCAACAAAGATTCTGGTCCTAATACCGAACGCTGAGGGTCAGTCCCAATACTGACCCCTGAGGAATGTCACTCATCACTGGTCTCCACTTAGACACTGAGACATTGACCATAACTTTTTGAGCATGACCACATAGCCAATTCTTTATCCACCAAATGGCCCACCCATCAAGTCCATGTCTCTCCAATTTAGAGACAAGAATGTCATGCAGGATACTGTCAAATGCCTTGCACAAGTCCAGGTAAATGATGCCAGATGCCCTTCTCTTACCCACCAACACTGTAACCCCACTGTAGAAGGCCACCAGGTTTGTCAGGCACAATTTGACATCAGTGAAACCATGTTGACTGTCATCAATGACCTCCTTATTTTCCATCTACCTTAACGTAGTTTCCAGGAGGATTTGCTCCATGATCTTGCCTGGCACTGAGGTGAGACTGACTGGCCTGTAGTTCCCTGGGTCTTCCTTTTTCCCTTTTTTAAAAATGGGGGTTATGTTACCCCTATTCCAGTCAGTGGAATACTTGTAAGTGGGACTATATGACAAAATTATAAATTTACTAGAACTTGGAATTAAAATTAAGAAAGCTTTCCTTGGTGACAGTAATTATATGGAAACACAGTGACTAAGTAAATATATTAGGGCACTTAATAGCTATAAAAGTAATTTATTTAGAGAATGATTATGTTTATATTATTAAAAATAAGCAGTATCATCCCTAAAGCCAGCAAAAATGGACTATTATAAAATGGTGAATTGATTCATATCAAAGACCACACAGTTTAAAAAGCTGATAAATGACAACTGTAGTACTTAGTTGGTACAAACTATTGTAATTTCACTGAATTCAGACCTTTTTCCAGTACTTTTTATGCACTCCCTTACTATTTGTGCATTTACATCCTTAAATAGTTCTAAAGTGCGTGAGAAGACGTAATTGATGTTTAGAAGAAGTAATTGTTAAATGGCAGGATATTTCAGCATCCTTGCTGTAGTCTACAGCATATAACCTATTGAAATAATTAGTAATGTTATGTGTGCATACATATGTATATGCTGGTGTGTTTATAAATAATACTTTTAAATAATGACAGATTTTCCTATCCCTGACTCATAAATGAATTAAAGCTTTTCTTTTAACTCAAAACACCTTCAAAGCAACATTTTGACAAGCTTCTCAATATCAGACATCACACATACAAAAAGATTAAGAAAATTATATTGCTAAATTACTATTTTAATTCCTTCTAGTAAAATTAATCCAGTTGCATAAACTAAAAGCCTACTTCTAAAAGAAAAAGAAGATTAGCTAAAAAAGGCTGGCTGAAAATCATTGCTCCAAGACAGCTCACATGAGACACCACAGACCTCTTGAGGGAACTCACAATTTGATAGTATGATAGCAAGCATCTGTACAATACTCAGTTCCTGGTTGCTACCGGAGACACTGTTAGATTGGCTCAAACTAGGCGTTCTGTTTCAAAACAGACATCTTGTACTTATATTAAGAAATGTTGCCCCCTGCCCCCCCATATCTCCTCAGGTCAACAAAAGTCAACACACATTCAAGTTCAGGACCAGGTCCTTTGCTATTAATGGTTAGCACACTCTCTTGCCTGCTTTGGTCCACACCAACTACTACTCTTCCAGACAGTTGTCCACTGTGGTTCAGAGTTTGCTGGTCCCTGTCAGCTGAAGAGATGAGGGCACCCTGAGCTTTGTTCTGGGCTGGGGGGAGCTTACTTTGAGGGCAGAAAAGTGGAATAGGAAGAAGAGAAAGCAACTTCATGGAAAATCACCTCACTGCACCCTTGCCCTGAGAGGCAGAGGACAAGTTCCCAACTGGTTTACGAGTCGGGACAGAAGTAGCCTTTGTATGTCATACCAAGGAGGCAGAGCAAGAAAGGAGGAAGAGCTGTGGCATATGGGGGCTGTTAGGGACACCTGACCATTCCTCAGGAGACTGCTGCAGAGTATAGTGTCGGCAGAGTCCAGGAGAGCCTGGACCCACCAAGTTAGAATGGTTTGGGTTGGAAGGGACCTTAAAGATCATCTAGTAGTTCAGCCACCACAGAGCAGCATGGAGACCACGGTCTGTTAACAGAGTTGTCTGACACACAAAAAATTCAGCATGCATGTACAATTTATAGGAAAGATTAGCATACCCATAATCTTCTGTATTATTTCCAAATGTATTTTTAAATATTGATTTATTTCATTTATCTAGAAAGCTCCAGAGGAGACTGGGAAGGAATTGTTTGTTGGGGTGATTTTCTATGCCAGCAAAGAAAACTTAACTGTATCCCTATAAGTTGGATGCCTAAATTTATGGTGTATGTTAACCACAGTTTTGGGAGCTGGAGATCTGCACTGAAGTGGTATTAAATATACTCTATTCTCACAGACTACCTCTGAAACATAGTCTTTTATTTCATTAAAAAGCTATCTTTCAACATCCTTTCTAATTAGTATGAGCCAGCACAATCTATCAAGTAAAAATCACAGTATGCAATAAAATATGCATACTGCCACATTCAAGAAGCAAAATTGAATTGATCAGTCAAGCATTATGCAGGCATAAAAATGGAAGGTTTCTATTGCTTTCCAGCACTGCTTTGATTTGAGGTTCAATACAAATGCTGAATGATTAATAGTAAGCAGAGATTTCTCATCACATGACTAGATGAGTTGTGAGTAAAATATGGAACCTGCAGTAACTGTGCATGCTAGTAAGAATTTAAATGTTAATTGGGTTTAACGTTTCAATAATTGAACAGATGACTCAATATAGAGATTTTATTTATACATTCAAGTGCATGTATATGTGACAAAACTGCTTCTGTTCACCTAAGGCTAAACTGTGGGTTTTCAGACAGCTTGGAAGGAAAAGTCAACCCTTTCCTTACCTTGGAAGGAAAAGTCAACCCCAAATTCTGATGGACAGGCAAGAACCAAAGGACTTCTACCAAAGCAAGTCTCCTACAGTGCAGGCCGAGTTCAAACAAATACATCCTTCAGCACCTGTAACAGTCTTTTTGCTGAATAGCTGAGCTCTTGCCCCACACTTGAACCAAACAATAATAAAGTGTGTGAATAAATTATTTTTAACATCATATTCACACAGGTAAATTTTTCAATAGATACTGCACTGGAGACATTCCAGCAACGATGGATTTACATCAGTGGGAAGACATCCCAAGTCTCAATTGTCAGTGCTCTACAATGCTCGCTTCTCTGTACTAGAGTCAACACCTCAAGTCATGAGCAGATGTCTGTGTTTGCTACATGCAGACTCACCCAGCATCATAGCAAGAGTAAACAAATCAGACTTTTCTGTATCCAAACTATAGAGTAATTATAAAAGTACTTACATATCTGGTTTCACGCCCAGCTGCTCGCTGCAACAAAATAAATAAATATATTAAAAGCAAAGACTTAATCTGAGGAGTAACTCAAAGAGATTTTCATCATTGTGCCAAGTTGTTAATTTCTTAAATTCAAGACAACTTCTGTTTTCCAGAAAGATTAGGGATACATGAGAATAAGATTTATTAAAGTTTTGCTTGATATGTTTGCTGTACAAAATACTATTTCACTATTTCAAGTGGGCATTTAAATTATCTCTGAGAACTCTCATAACAAAATGCTTATTAGTAGACAGTCACAGGTGTGATTTCCCTGTGAAATTTAACTTAGATTTGCTCACAAAATAACCTGAAATGACCCCTTTCTGTGTTCTCATTTGCAAGAATTTGCTTTCATCTGACTAATATTTCTTAGGCATTTACTTAGAACATGCACACTTTTTTTCTTCCTTTCTATGACTCTTTTATCTTCACTTTAAGCACTTTCCTTTCTCATTCCAAGATCCCCGCAACCTTTAGCTTGTTCCCTATGCTGTATCCTGTAAATCTCACTTTTTACCTCCTTTATTTGGTTTTATGACTGCTAACTGATGCCTTCCATTTGGTCAAGGCTCAATTGTCCAGGGAAGTAGGTTTTGGATGCTATAGCTCAAAAGTCCAACTTAATAGTAGCATTTTAACTGCTTTGAATTCAGTGTAGGCATTGGAAAACGTTTCCTCAGTAACTGTTTCTGCCTGCTTTTTCGGCTACTATCCTGTTTCTACCTTTCAGTTGCCCAAGGCCTTATTTACCATTGCATGTTGATTGACAGAAGTAATTTCAAAAACTGAAAATGAAAATTGAAGTGTATATTAAATATACCCACTCAGGAATGCTGGTTCTGTGCCCTATTTTTCATGGTGGACAGGACATTGTGCAGGATACTTTGCATTAAGTTTTTTATGTGTTCCTCTGTCAAAAATCATTTTCCTCCTGTTTCCAATTGGATTTCTGCCATTTTCACTTTCCTATAGATACTAACACCAACATAAGTTACCAGGGGCAAATTGAATACAGGACCCTCCTCCCTTGGTTATTCATCTTTCTGAACCCAGAATACACACCAATATAACATAGTGCAATCAGTTTAATACCAGTATAGAAAGTTATTCCTGCCTCTCACTACCTGTTTCTGAGTCATTAAGTATAAATGGATGTAGCAGACATCCCCCTCCTGTAAGGGGCCAGAGTTTAAAGGAAATCAGCACCTAAGAACAAGTCTACTTATTAATTTAATTATTCCATTATGTGAAAACCAATAATGAATATGAAAAAAAAAAAAAATATTCTGAAAGATGTTTGCAGTCACCGAAGCTGGAACAATTGGCTCCCCTGTAATAAGGACCCACAGATAGGATGAAATCTGGGAGGCGGCCAGACACCCTGCAATATGGAAGGCAGGGTATGAAGGATTTCTTTCCTGTGGATCTTAGTCTCTGAAACCTTAATAAATAGTCTCTCTTTCCTAACTCCTTCTGACTTTAGGAAAGTATCCTGCAACAAGACTGCACTAGCTCCAGGGCTGCAGTTCTGTACTTCCATGTCTTTCAAATCACCAGGCAATTCTATTGATGTCACATCTCTTAACTGAAGATTTCTATTGCTAGACTTTACCGTTGTGATTTTGTTTGCTATATGTCTACCTGGGAAAAGTATTTAGGCTTATTCAACTACCTTGCCAACATCTGACTCCGTGCTCATCTGCAGGAAACTTGGAGAAGATTCGCATCGGCGCTGGAAAATGATTTTCAACAGAGAACAGACTTATTAATGACAAGAGACAAAAGGAAAGGAAGATAAAGTCAATCCTGTATATTGAGGGGTTACCATAGTTAGTGGGTCCTGCAGGACTTGATCAATGACAGCACACAGCTCTTCTGTTTGTTGTCGGAGCTGGGCAGGGGAGCACACCTGAAAAAGGAGGACATATCACTCAGTTAACCTTTGCTTTTTGTTTTCAGATAGTTATTGCAAAGAGATGTAACAACACTACCTCTGAATGGGTGTCCAAAGCAGTGCCTTCAGTCACACTAGCATCCTTGGTTGGCTCTTCTAATGCCTGTAATTCGAAAGATTTCAGTGTGATATTCAATTCAAAATTTTAAAACCCAAGCAAACATACATTTCTTGCAATACTGTGTTTCCAAATGTGTCATTTTTCATTCCATCAAGGAAAGATGGAAAAAGAAGAAATTGCAGGCCAAGTAAGGTTCTTTAGGTTACCAACTTCTAATTGTGAATTGGGTTGCAGAGAGGGAGAGAGCTAGGTGAATTGTCTCCACTTTTAGGGATCAGAAACTACCAGTTTTAATTGCCTTCTCCTTCAACAACTCCCCCTTCCTTCTCAGTGAATGCAACATAGTGAACATGCCACAGAGGGGTTGGCGAGCTGCCTGCCGCACACCGTCAGAGGAAAGCCACTGGCTGTAAGCAGGTGGAAAAGAGAGTGGTCCAAGTATGCAGGAGGCCCTTTTTTTTCCTCCAGCAGATGTTTTCTTTTAAAAGTACCTCCTGTTTAAAGAAGATGGTGATTCCACATTGCAACAAAATCAGTGCTCAATGTTATTGGATTTTACCCCAAAATCAGAATTGTACAGGGTGAAATACATGCTATACACATGTGATATCACACTAAAACATGGCTAATCTTAGCAGGTATGCAACCTCTCCAAAATGAAACACAAGCTTCTTGTGCTTGGATATACCTCCTGCTTTCCTACTCCTGGACTTGGAGCAGGTTTAGAGAACAGTGGGAATCAGTTTTCTGATCCCTCCACTTTATCAGGAAACTCACAAAACACTCTCAAAAGCCAAACTCCAGAGTTCAGTTCCTTTTCATCTTCTTCAGAATCTGTGAGGCACACTCTCACTGACATCACCCATTTTTGCTTTGAAGCAATTTTCAAACAGATTTCGTGCCGAGACCAAAAATGACTCTGGAAGCCGGCTGATGCATGAAGCTGGACTACAGGGGAGGGACCTGAAGGGTTTGTGGATTTTTTGTTTAACACTGGACATTTTTCTGAAGTTTTATTTTGCTTGTTATTTGCTAAAAATAAATTATAACAAGAGGGGGAAAAAAGCATTCTCGTAAACATTTTTTCATGCATAAGGGATTCTGTGGGAATGGACTGATCTTGGTGAGGTGGATATCAGGGCTGGCAGTCAGAGAAATGTGGAGATGGGAGGAAAATGTCTGAATCTTAAACAAAAGAAAAAGAAAAAAAAAAGAAAGCAAAGAAGCATATACTTAAGTAATTATATCTGAGTTTAATTTTGCTGACTACAAATTTTTTTTCTCTCCTTGCCCAGCTACTGGCAGCTTACATCCACGTACGCAGAACTGAAAAATTAATGACTGTGGCAAAATTACTGGAGGTAACTAAAAATCAGAAAAAGGCTGTGTCCACACACTAAGGGAAAGGTACAATATCAAAGAAGATCCTAGAGGAAAAATACAGCTGGCATGTGAAGAATCTTCTCTGAGGCTTCCTCCCTACTAAGGCCTGCTGTTTATCAAGGAAAAACAAGAGAGGGGAGGCACAGAGGCTTGTTTTTCCAACTCTCATTTCGATCGCAGCATGGTACGAGACTTGATGTGTTGTCTACAAGCGACCCTGGGTCAACACCTGGCACCCCTTAGACAAATATCCCCACTTTGTGGGGACCTTGAATTACAACAAAACAAAATGGACAAAAACAGAACTCCAGATCACTGACCCCCCTCCTTCCCCCTTACTGAGCATGCACTCCAAGTTTTGGTAACTTCTACTTTAAAAGGGGAAGGGGAGTGTCTTTTGCCAATCACCATAAAGGTATGACTAGAGTCACTCAAGCTCCACCTTGCAGGTAAGAAATATTATAAAAATAGCCCAAAGAAATGAGGGGATCAGGGGAGACACCATCATGGTCAGTAAGACATCATCATGGACCAGTCAGGGACAAATCCATCACAGACGTCTAACCCCTGGGGCCAGTTGATGGGCTGAGTCTCTCTTTCCCCCCATAGGGATGCCTTTGGGTAAGATTTATACTGCCCCAAGAACTTTCTTGGAGACTTAGAAATCTCTATAGAATTGCTTTCTAACTTAACGCTTTTAGTAACTTGTAACCTTAATGCTTGTATATTCCCCTGCAGACAGTAGATTATCACTAGAAATCCACACAAATCTGTATTATTCCTGTTGCTTTATTAAAGGGCCTTATTTGCTTATTGACTTGCTGCACCATTTCTCACTAGGCGCCGCCTGATAAGGCTGTGAAAGTCCATAGATCCTGACTAGATGGCAGGTGCAGGGCACTATCGAGTGAATCTGGCATCGGTGTACCCAGACTGGTAGTACCACATCGAACTGCATCTGTCTGTTACCAGCCACCCCAACTGCCCCGTGCTCAGCAGGACGCTGCTAAATTCTGCAGGTTTAGCCATGTGAGTCCATAAATGGTGGGTATGGGAGTGCAGGGCACTATCAAGTGAGTGCTCAACTGGGCATCACTCAGGACCTAAGCCTGGCCACCCCCGGCTCCTCCAGTTATCTGAGGGTGAGTTGGAACACAAGGGAGTTTATTTTCTGCCAAAATTATTTCACCACACCTTTCATGCAACAATGGCAATTTACTTTTAATGTTAATTTAATACGATCCACAAATGATCATGCACAGAAGCACATTTATGGAACACTGTGTCATCTATTAGAGAGTACAGTAGGAAAAAATGAAGAGCAGTTTCTTTCCAAACATATTTCTCCCCTCCAACTGTAGACAAACCTGCTGGCCTTACAGTAGTTGTAGTTTGAAAGGAAAAAAAGTAAAAGAATTATTTTTTTTGACACACAGAAATTAGTGTAATCTTATCCCATGGCAGAAGATTAGAAGATAAATGCTCTTTCTCATCTCTGCTACCTCATCACTGTTATCCATCTGAATTCTTAGATCAACAAACAGTCCTGTAGAAGAGGAGGGCTCAGCTAAAGAGTGCCCAGCACTACACTCAAGTACTGTGTCCCCAGTTCAGACTCAGTTGAGATTACATCCTCCTGATAAACATAAAGTGATAAAATTAAGTAGAAGAGTCATTCCATACGCACTGGGGCCAGGACTGCCAAAGCAGCCTGTTGTAGAGAGGTGATGACTCTGAATGTGAGTTAGGAAAAATAACAAATCTTAATCAGTCACAAGTTCAAAATGGAGAAATCGTTAAGCTTCTCATAACACTCATTAAATCAGTAGGGTAATGAACATAATAAAGTAATTGTTCAGAAAAAAATACATGTTTCTGTGTCATATTCACTTCACCAGAGCTGTGGGAGAGAGGGGGAACACAGTCAAAGGTAAGAAATAACTACCCAGAAGATACTAAAGCATATTTCTAGAGGAAATAGAGCCACAGACACTAGTCTCTGTTCAGAACCAAGACTCTGGATAATTTAAGTACTAAACACTTCTCAGTTTCAGTAGAAATTTGGTACCCAAATATCTTCGCATTTTGGAGCCTTCATTGACTAAAGAACTCAGGTGAAAACAGTACCACGGCCTATGTGCTCCACATATCTCCCCCTGAGATATGGTTATCATGCAGGAGCCATGCTAGAGAAAGCTGCAGCGTTATTCTCCATTTTTGAACCTTTGGGCAAGGAAAAGTTCAATCTTCAAAGTGATCCATCTCATTTCTTTCACTGTTGTTTTATCTTTATTCATTTATTTATTTATTTGAACAGCCCGAGTCCTTCAAAGAAAGGGAAGAAACAAAGAGAACTAGATTGTAGGCATCCCTACCACCTCTACAGAGAAAAAATGTTCTGTTGAACCTGCTGTTAGCTTTTCAAAATACAATTCTTTTTTTTTTTATTATTTCTGCATAGAGAAAAATGTGATGTTAAAAAAGTATGACTAGCATTTCTGAACTCATTACCAGAGTTATCATGCAATAATGTTATGATTAATTTAAAATATTAGTGCTATCTACAGGACTGTTGATTAGTGCTATCAACAGTGTTCAAGCTTCATTTCCTATGCTGATGGTCTAACAATATCAAAAGCGGAACATTCCTATTTAGGCATTCAAATTTATCTATTAGTTGCACTACAATTTAAAAGAAGAGTACAATTTAGAGAATGAAAATGTATTTGTGACAGAATTTAAATGTGCAGGTGAAATAACCAGTTGCTGTACCACAAACTTTTTCCTTTAGGGACATGATGCTTATATGCCATTGACAGAAATTACTACAATCCTTCCCCCAAACTATCTGATTGTTAAAGATGTAACAGAGCTGAAAGGACACTGGTAAATGATCTGAACAGGATCTCCAATATTTTCTTTGAAGAATGAAAGTTCTTCAACGTAAAAGAAATTTAGAACATTGCTTCATCCACCAATGAACGACATCAATAGTAGGAGAAAAAAACAAATATTGTAACCTGGATCTGACACAGCTTCCTTCTTACTGTGTTGTGAAAACCCTGAGTTGAGCAAAAGCCAAGTTTCCTTTTCTTTTATTTCACTTGCATATTTTCGCCATCAATAACTTTTCCCAAGCCCTGAGCACATGCAAAAATATCCCTCTGTATAAGAGAACTTCACATACGATGAGTTCCTTTAACTTATTCCTTGAAGATCCTGTGAGATTATAGTTAAAAGACCCGATTACTTTTCCTCTCATAAAATAATTAATACTAAAAGCTGCAAGGCCTTTGAAAGAAAGATGGAGTTCATAGCCTTCTCCTACACTAGCACGCTTGGTTGCCTGGTTATTATTACTAGGTCCTTTATCACTCTTCAACTGCACAAATTACTTCCTTTCTTTCTTGACACTAGGTATTTAGCTCTAGCCTTGAGAAGTATTTTGACATGAACATGTAACCTGGATACAAGAAATTCACCTAGTAAGTGCACACCAGAAGCGCTTGGATAAAACTAAATATTTTTTTATAAAAATATTCTCAACAAAGTGTTATCAGAAATGCTTTCCAGGTCCAGAAAGGTACTGACATGCCTGATAATAGCCAATTGTCCAGCAGTTAGGTCTACCACCTGAGAGTGGGAAAAATTGGCTTCCA